ATTTTGACAACAAAAATTACAAGCAAAAAATTGAGAGTGTGAGGTCCATTAAGCAGTACCATACATGTTATGTCATTCGAGCGTGTGACTCATATGACTTGAAAACATAATCATTCTGGCCACTGGTTTTCGGGTTGACGGTTTGACTGTTCGGTTCTAACGGATGGCCCGTTCTGACAACAAAAATTAAAAAAATAAAAAAAATGACCAAAAGCCATTGAACGGGTCAATGGTTCGACTGCCCGGGTTAATGGGTCATTGACTGATTCAACAAATTTTGGCTAGGGACCGAGATTAGGATAAAACGGAACCAGTTGCCTGAATGGTTCCCGATTAAAAAAATAAGAAATGGCCATAAACCATTTTATGGGTCAACGGATCGATGATTCAACCGCTTAAGTCAATGGATCATTAACCGATTCAACGATTTTTGACTAGAGACCAAGTCAACAGATCGACAGTTCCATTTCAGCCCCTACAAACCAGGGCCCCTCCGCTAGTGATACTTAATCAAGTAAATAAAAAAGAGCAATTGTTCATTTTTCTCTAGACATTGATATAGAACTTAAAAAGAAAAAAAGGTTGATATAATCATCAATAAAAGATGGAATGTTGCCAAATCACATGGTCTTATCTCCTTGTTATATAAGTAGATTTAAAGGCCGTTACCCAATGTTGGTTCAAACCATTACGGTCTTGAGAGTGGTTGAATGGATACTATCTTAAGTTATTAACCTTTGTTTTCGCAAATCAAGGTGGTCGTTAATTATCATACTCAAACCTTCGTTTCCTGGCATGCCACTCCGAGATTTTACAATTAAACCGAGTAACCGCCCCTTGTTATAAGAGTATACTTTTGTGAAAAAGAAAAAAATCGCCAAGTGACTGAATTTATTGTCAAAATTCAAACCTTCTAGGAACATTGGGTACTAAACTTCCATAGTAACTAGTAATCTTAGACCAATTTCTTGTAAGATTTCATATTTCAAGACTAATGCCTTTTTTGATAATCTTTCAAGACTAATGTCAAATTCTCGATATTCCAGTGACTGAATTTATTGTAAATATGATTGAAATATACTTAAAGATTAGTATTAAATTCATAAGATAACTGATACGACTCCGGATCTCCTGCCCACGAGAATTCTGCCCACCTCTATCACAACACACTATCCCCTGTGAATTTGGAACATTTCCCCCTACAAAATATTTTGCAGAGGATGAGATGTTCTCCATGTGTGACTGCAGTAAACATGAGCAGAGTTTGTATGGACAGGAGATCCGAACACAACTGATATGGCCAAAACCGACCACAAATCAAAACTCGCCAAGTGGAAACAGATTTGGGGGCAAAGTTGTTAATTAACGAAGCTTACCTAAAGCATACTGGTCAGGTCAAGATGACCTGACCTAATCAAGCTAACCTAATCTTACTACGTGCATACAATATATTAACCAAGGGCGTGACACGTAGACTTTGACTTTGTTTAAGGGAATGCATCACACTACACTACACTCGATACTATACACATTGGACATCTCGACACACATCACCTCACCTCACCTCCTCTCCTAGCACGTCTCATTGAACTCTCCAACTCATATTCTCTTCCCTTAGTGTTACTGACTTAACCATCGAACTCTACGCCCCTAGGGTGATATCCCAAGCCCTCTGGAGTCTCTTTTGATTGTAGGTCTCCTTGAGTACCCAAGGTTCCAAGTCGAGGTGACTCTCTAAGGTTGAGGTGAACCCTACCAACCRAGGTATCCAACAACTTTCCATCTCCGCTCTCAAGGCCAATTTTATCGTAAACAATAACTAACATATATACATACTGATGTAGGTGCAAATGGCCCCTTCCCATCGCGGGCCTACACATGTCAGCCAGTGCAAGTTACAGTGGATCCAATCAGGGTGTGTGCGTGGCAAAGCTCGGTGGGTTTCAGGAAGCCAATAGATAGGAGGTGACCCCCTCAAGGTAAAGGATTGGAACTTAAACTCTCTAGTTATCACTTGAGATCTCCTATTCTCTCTTGTGGCCTCATTTGGGTGTTCAAACCTCGGTCCTCGTCCACTCCGCATCTCCTAATACTAACTTGACCATCAGAGTCTTCGCCTCGGGTCCCCACCCGAGGCCTCTGACATTCTCCTCCTCATAGGATCGACTTACTAGTTCTTGGCCACCTCGGACCTCAGACACCTCAGCCACCTTGGATCTTGGATACCTTGGTCCCACCTCGGTTTAGGAGTGAATTGACAGTGTTGCCCTCGACCATTCCGAGCATCAACAATTGGCACTGTCTGTGGGAACGTTGCTAAGACTTTCTTCAATTTAACTTAAAACTAAAAGAACCGACTCCTGAGCTTTAGCCGATATGGTTAGGAATACCAAGAATGCCCAGAACCTGGTTACAACAGAACAACTCCAAGTGGTCCTTGACCGGCTGGACCACCTCGCCTGGCGCATTGACGAGGTGTACCCCCTAGGGCTGCCGCCCCGCCAGGAGCTCGGGCCATCAGGGTGAATGCATGTCCGTAGACCTGCTAGCCCTCGGCCCCACCGACTCTCACCGGGCCGACCCCTCGGAGTCTGACAACAACCAGTGTGCCAACCATCCGCCGAGAACCTCAAGACCCTCCAACCGAAGGGGGGAAGGATCAGCATAGTCTCGCGATTATCGCCGAGACCCCGAACAACATCACCACTACCGAAGAGATAACCCCCGGGATGAAGGTGGGCGGTCTAGCCATCATAGCCCTCACTCGAGAGCCGAGGGCTGGCGCTACACCTCTCCCTCACGTGTCTCAAATCTCTGAGACCTCCTGAGCTATAGGCGAGCCAGAAAGACTGCACATGGCCTCACTTCTGAGTACTCGGGGATCCGGTCCGACCCCTACAGAGTCTGTGAAGACCAGAACGGGGCACATGCCCCCTCGACTAGCAAATCATGGACTTGCAAGCCCAACTCGGAGCCGTCAAGGATGAGCTCCACCAAGTCAGAGAAAGCCGAGTTGAAGCCTCAGCCAACCAGGGCCATCCATCCGGGAGGAAGGATGCCTTCACCCCAGACATCATATCCGAACCTCTCTACCCACACTTCAAAGAACCAACATTGGAAATGTATGATGGGATGACCGACCCAGATGACCACCTGGAAAGTTTCAAGGCGCTCATGCTCCTTTACAGATACTCCGATGCCCTAACGTGCCAGACTTTCCAGGCGACCTTCAAGGGGGCAGCTCGCCGTTGGTTCTCTGGGCTCCCTCCTCACTCCGTCGGTTCGTGGGAACAATTTGCCAGTCTTTTCCTCGCCCACTTCATCTGCAGTAAGCGATGCCAAAAGAGTGTTGTTTCCCTAATGTCCATTAAGTAGAAGCGCGGTGAGAACCTATGGTCCTACATCGACTGCTTCAGGAAAGAAGAACTTGAGGTCTGCTAAGCAGAAGCGCGGTGAGAACCTATGGTCTCTTGCCCGGCTCGACCCTCAAATGCTCGGAAGTCAAGACCCCATCGAAGTCTAAGGCATAATTTCTCAAGAAAGCTCAGATGTACATTGCGGCTGAGGAGGCCTTGGCCGGCGATCACCAGGATGGAGAGGCCGAGTGCTAGCATGGAGGCCTAGATAAGAAAAGGAAGAACGGGGACGACCCGAGGCCTCTGACGCTCTCCTCCTCGCAAGATCGACTTACTAGTCCTCGTCCACCTCAGACCTTGGACACCCTAGACACTTCGGTCACCTCGGATCTCGGATACCTCGGTCCCGCCTCGGCTTAGGAGCGAATTGATAGTGTTTCCCTTGACCATTCTGAGCATCAAGACATACATACATACATACATAAACAGGAATTATTCTTACAACCCATTAAAATCGATTTGTTATTGCAATTCCTTAATCTTTAACCCATTTTAAATAGCCCAGCCTTTTCCCCACCTTYCAAACCCTAGATATGAAAAACCCCGAACCCGAGACCAGCAAGGGAGATCACCCTTCCTCCAGTAAAAGTTCTGAAAGAGATTTTCTTTAGGTTATGTATGGTTTAAAGGAAAAGGTAGGAAAAGGAARGGAAATGTTGTGAATCCTATGCAGGTTTTGTACATGTTTCATTACCTTTCCCTACTTTTTCCTTCAAACCAAACACAGCCTTAGGGTCTCTACTGTAGCATCTCCAGATGAAGATTTTGGGATCCATTTGTGAGTATAAGGGAACTGAACTATGTTGTCTTTTCCTATCAGACTGTGTACATTACTTCGACCCAATTGTGAGAATAGGCTTCACACATTTTATACATATATTATTTCTAGGTTGTAAGTGTACAGCTTCTTTGGGGCTTGTGGAATCAAATATTCTTTCAATTTTCCTTTGCACTTGAATTCATTAGTATTATCTAGAAGACATTTCTTATCACAACATATCAATGAAAGAGCAAAGGTAATATCACAGGCTCCATGGCCATCGATACCTTTTAATCACAAAGTACATAAAGAAAAGCTTGTTGAACACTTGAACTAAAACGGGGTTAGGGGTTGTCACTCGCTTGTCCTTTTTATTGGGCCCAGCCTTTGTAATGGATGGATAATCCAACCGATAGTACATGTGAGAGAATCCTAGCCATTCCCAACTAGAAATTTTTATTCTACAAAACTATATGGATGGGTTAGCATGTCCAATTTGGACCATCAAAATATGAGAACTGACATCAATCAGACGGGCTGGCATGTTCAAGCAATAAGGAGCTTGGGTTAAGAGACTAAGAAAACCATTTCCAATATTTACTACTTGAAATCATGAAGAAATTTGTTTTTATTACAAAAAAAAAAAAAAAAAAAACAAATCAGGAAGAAAACTGTGCTATCAATTATTTATTGATTATTCTCAGGTGCATTGAAGTCCACATATACCAACAGTCAATGAACCCTTTAATTTGAATCATCTTAGAAGAGCAAACAAACTGCTAATGGTTAAACAGAACTTCTGTTCTATATATAGTTAACACCTTCTACATTTTCACGTAAAGCTTATTTGAATCGATTAAATCTTTGTCAGTTCGATCTTGGAGCCATGACAAGATTGTTCCAAAGACTTGGTCGACGCCTTCCTTTGGTTCACCGATCCACTGATGCCACATTCCGGGAAAGATCTTCAGTGTCTTGTCCTTGCTTTCTGCCTTCTCATAAACCAGCCTCGCGGAGTCTGAATCGCACACAAGGTCGTCTTCTCCATGCACCACCAGCAAGGGAAGCTCCAACTCGTGGCACTTCCTCCTTATTTGCTCACACACTCTGAGGAACTCAAGAGCAGTGGCTGCCGGTGGCTTGCCGTAGCTCCGCCGATTCGGATTCTTCGCGACCAATTTTCTCTTCCACTCCTCCTTATACGATCTGCTTGCAATCGGTTTTGTGATCGCTATTCTCCAGGTGGGTGCAAAGAAAGCTGCCACCGGAAGAAGCATCTCAAGGGGCCACGCCGGTTTAAACTTGGAAGACACTCCACACATGGCGCCATTCAAGACCAGACCACTCCAGACCCCTTTCTGTTTCAGAGCAACGAGCATGGCTACTGCACCCCCCAAGGACTCACCAAACAAGAAGGCTGGAAGCTTCGGGTGGTCATCTCGAGCTGTGTCGAAGTACTGGATGCAATCATCGACGAGTGGTCGGATGTCTGGAATATGGCCGCTCAAGCCCTCGGAATAGCCATGGCCTTGGAGATCAAGCGCACAGACATAAAGCCTGGCCTTGGCAATGGCTACAGCAGTTAGTTCGAAGACCCAACTGCTCTCAGAGGTGTAGCCATGGACCATGGCGACTAGTCCCCTAAGCTCAGCCATTGCTGTGTTTGCAGGCCGCCATGACTGAGTGAAGATCTTCATGTTTTGCTTGTTAAGCATGAATTTCTCTTGGTGGAGGACATGGTGCTTCTTGTAGAATTCTTCCCTGGAGAGATCTCCGAAAGGGCTGTTTTCGTTAGCTTGGTGTATTGGGTGAGCCATTGTTTCTGGGGTCTCTTTCTCCTTAGAGGTAGAGTTGGATTGTAGTTTTGGAGATGGAAAATCCCTTTATATAATCCAAGGGTTTGCCACTCCTACTTAAATGCACGTTGGATGTCGTTTCAAACTTGGCTACCACAGGGCCCTACCAAGTACCAACCTTCCAACATCCGACAACAGACACAAAACTAATTAATGTGGTTTCTTGTACATATAATCAATGGAGTTGTACTCTAACTCACATTCGTGTCAAATTGACTGATAAATCTTTTTCTTTGAAAATCTTTCCTTTTCAAGAAAACATGGAATTACATATTAGAACCTGTACTTTGGGGGTAGTGCCAATTGGATTCTAGTCGAGCCAAGCTAATATCTTGCTAATTTGAGTTCTATTCGCCAAAAAAAAAAAAACACTGTCGAGCTTAACCCGAACTAGAGACTTTAATTCAAATTTGGCTCAACTCAAAAGTTTATAAACTTGGGCTTCGCTTGATTGGAGATTAATTCTGAGCCAAACTTCCTTATAAAAATAGAAAATTATATATATATATATAATATTATTTTTAGTTTACACAAAAAAATAAAAATGAGTCAGAAGCAAGGCAATGGTGGTCACTCGTTCTAGCCAGCTCTACCATTGGACTTAATGCTCGTCTCTATGCCCTTTATGGCCCTACACAAGAGGATCAATTAGTGTCGAAGGCACATTGACTGCAAGGGGAACTTAATTAGGGCACTGGGCCCTACTGTGTTGGGACCCAGAGTATGGCAATGAGGTCCTTGACTTGTTAATAGAAAGAACTGAGCTGTTCCTATATCGTCATCAGACTATATGAGAGAAAGTAGAAGGTTTTTTGTGTCGTTCTCACACATGGTGTCAATCTGATATTGTCCGTAAGATAGATGAATAACATATACTGGACGAGCTTAATTAGATTCAATCACCTACGCAAACAAATGGTTAGAGGTCATGAAGTGATTCCTCGGCGAGAGCACTCTAACACTCAAAGTCGACCACGCCAAGGTTATCGAGATGAACTAGTAGCCAAGCTAGATAGTTTGGATTTTGGAAAGCTATAAAACAGGAGAGCTAGAGTAAGGGAATGTGGAAGAAGGAAGTACCTACCTTTGGTGGTATGCCATTAAATACCTACTGGGAATGTCAGTGTTCCTCACTTTAAAGACACGTGTCATGCATCTTAGGCTCGTTACGCTGGATATGCCAGTAGAGGCATATCAGGCAGTATTAGTATTGTTTTTTCTTATTTTTTTTAACTTTTTTTAAATCCGGTTCAAGGGGCCGATTTAAGATTCCTTTATCCTCTAAACCGGTCAAAACCTCGATACAGCTTCTATAAAAACATATTAAGATACTCCCGATATAATACGTAAATAATGGTTTTTTGAACCTTGATCCGTTGAGGTTCCAGGAGTGCATTCCACACTCTTCGATCGTGTGAGAGGCAGGATAAGAGGTATGAGCCATTAGGCACTGACTAACGTTCACCACGTGTTCCCGGTCATCTGAGGTTTGTGGCGTGCACCAACGCTTATCTCATGGCGAATGTGAGCGTGCCATGTTGCTGCCCTCCACGTCAGCCGAGCTTAAGGTTTGTCACAGTCCACTATTCGGCCATGTATCGTCCCAGTCATCAAGCCACATGACGGTTCAACCGGCCGGGCGAGGTACGACTCATAGGAACATAATAAAAAGTTGATAAAATTGATAGTTAGGGTCATTTATTATTTCTTTACGGGTGACATTTAAGGGGAGGGGGCATCATAGAAAGATCCAGCAATTCATGAAATTTTAATTAATGACAGGGTATGTGCCAAATGTTTACGCAATATATCGAATGAAACCAAAAATATTCCACGTAGCAAATGGGTCACAATAGTAAACTCAAGTCCACATGTTCATCTTTCGTACTCTCCACTAATGCAATCTCTCTCTCTCTCCTTCTGCTGTGCAACATGGAATATAGGGCCACGTATGAGAATAATAAACTCCAAATGTTCCTTTCTCATCACTCTCCATTAATGCAATCTATATCATCATTAATAAATTCCATCTTCTACGACAGGTTCGACAGGTTGTGCTCTCTCTGCTGTCTCTCCGTTTGGTTCGTGGGAATAGGGGTTTGGAATCGGAATCTGAATAGGGATATTCCGATTCTAACTATTTGATTGGATGTATTCAAAATCCTATTCTTGATGGAATGGCATTCCCTCAATTGAGAAAATGCTCATTTCTTGCCCTTCTTTTAGAAATAAAATCCTATTTTTTCTGATTTTAATTTTCATTCTCATTCCTATTTGAACCAAACAGATTATGGGAATGGACCATCCAATTCTAATTCCGAAAGATTTTGATTCCTATTCTGATTCCAATTCTGACTGCAAACCAAATAGGCCCTTATATCATTTGTAGTAAAACAATAATGAAATAAACCATAAATTGATGTAATTCAACAATAATTATTTTGAATTTCAGATTAATGTAAGTTAGAATATATTGCTCTATGAGAAAATAATACATTTCAACTTCGTATTGTTTTTTAGTTATTTATGATGTTTATTTTTTTTAATGTTTACAAGTATTTTTAGTAATTATTATTTTTTATTATTTATGGATCACATTGGCCTAAGTGCACCCAACCATATTTATCTATGTTAATTTTTGTTAACTAATTTTATAATTTAATTTAGTTATTTTTATTTAGTTAAGTTAATATATTAATTAGTTAAGTAATTTAAGTTAAATGAGATTAATTAAATTGCTTTTAATTCATTCTCCTTTCAATTAACTGATTTAATTAAGTTAAAYTAATTTATTTAAGCTAGATTATGAATTTAATTAAACAACATTGTACACGCCAAAGTGGTTGATAGGTCAAGAATTTGCGCTAACAAAATCCAAAATTTGTGGTTTTATCAAAAACAAATCTAAAATTCTTGAAAACCAACTTAATTTGGCATCAGTGGTCACTACACATGAGGACCACATACCTCTTGCGAACGCTTTGAATATACCTAGAAGAATTGTTTGCGCTTTAATGTCCTTTGACACCAGATCCAACAAACCAAATGCCCCCTACACCACCTTTAACTTAAGCACCTTCTATGCTATAAAGCATGAGCAATTATGGGTTAACCCAACTCGGGTCCATCACCTTCGCTTTTAATTTTCTAGCTTTGAAAATTAAAAGTTCAAATGAAACTTCAACACCAGACAAATTAACTGTTTACAATGACAAATTAACTAATTATATATACATATCCTTCAACTTTGATGCAAAGATCTCTACGATGCGAAATTAATTGATGGTGGGTCATGAAATCCTGCTTTGTTTTGCATACAGATTGCGAAAGAAACTTGTATTGCGAGGCTGTTATTCCTGAAATTTTGAGTACTGATGCTTTCTTAATCTCTTTATTGCTGGCCAAATTAACTTGGTCCCCATGTAGTTGTGCAATCTCGACTATTGGGCACTGCATTGAATGTTTCTCATTTGTGTCAAGCCAAAGATATCTTGGAAATGCTTGTAAAATGGAAACCATAAAATTTTATATATTCGTCTTCTCTTTCTGCTGATTAAATTGCCCAACTTCATCCAAAGGCCATCAACATGGGAAAGATGTAGAACCAAGTGAAATGCTAAGCCACTTTCTAAATAGAAAAGCATTAGTGGAAAGTAAGCAACAAATTAGTAAGCATTAATTTGGATATTAGATGCAATATTAGAAGGTGTTGTTGGCCTTTTGGAGGTTATCTAATTGATATTTGTGTCCAAGAGATGAAGAAACAGAGATGTTCATGATCGGATTGGTTTGGTTTTGATTAATTGCCTAAAGTCCAAACTATCCTTTATTGGCATAATCCACTACATTGGCAGATTCATTTATCCAACCCCACAATATCCTCCTGTTCAAGTCATTGAAAAATGTTTTTAAAGTGTAAACATTTCTATAGCCGTATCTCAGGGCAAAATCATTGTCAACAAAACCAGGACTGTGTAATACTTCTGTTTGATATCATCCGAACTCACCTTAAGAATATGCTTAACACTCAGATTAATGACTGGAGTATAGAGACCATATATTATTTTTGCTGTTAACAGAGACTGGGAAGAAATCTGGGCATTCCCACATTCCACAATTGTTGAACGAAGGGAGGTGTTGAGATTTGGTCCGGTGGATAAAAGCCTTTCTCCTGTAGAGAATCGTCATTCCTTGGCATGTTCTCTTGCAATAAGAGAAAAAAGTTGAAGGAACGTGAAAATGCTTACCTAGTTTGACAATGAATGAACAACCATGAATGTGAAAAGAAGCTTGAACTGAGAGGAAAAACTTGGACAGAAACTTTATTTCTGCTAAATATTGAATGCAAAAGAATCCTCTCATTCCAAAATAATGAAAGCAAATAAAACCTAATTAGGAAACAATGAAATTAGTGTAGCATGAAAACGTAATGGAGAGAAATTAGCGAGCCAACAACAATTAGTTATCTTTTATACTTTAGAATGGGAAGAGGAAATGAGAGAGAGAGAGAGAGAGAGAGTTAAGGAAAGAGAACATGGGTTAGTTTCCAAATAAAATAGCAAGACCTCTCTTGCTAAAAGGAGGGAGAGATCCATCATATGGACGCCAACAATGCAGCGGAATAGGGTGGGCGAATTTCAAAAAAATTTCTCTTCTCCCTTCCAACTAGGAATCATATTCCCTGATTTTAGAATACAATATTTAAACATCTAATCGAACCAAAACCGAACCAGATCTGAACCAAAGAGAAAGGGAAGGGTTATACTTGATATGGAGAGTCGGTATCTCCCAACGTCGGTGTTCACGCCCAAAGAATACTCCCAAGATCTGCTCCCACTGAAGATGACGCAGTGATACTGGARCAGAACYAGYAGTGTTCGTCCTAYGAACCAAATTCTTCACAAGAATTCGATGGAAGTGAAGAGCACCGCACACAATCAGCCTTTCAGCAAAGACTGATA